CAGATGGAAAATTCATCAGTGAACTTACATAGCAAAAAAAAGAAAATATCATTAAAAAATTGGGTATGTTTGAAATAGTCTACTAGTATAATTGCATTTGTGCTCCTGTTTTATAGTTGGGTTTAAAAATACTAGTGCTTTTACTATTTACAAAAGCAAACACGTGGAACCAACCCAAATGCCCATCAAGGATAGACTGGATAAAGAAAATGTGACACACATACACCATGGAATACTATGCAGCCATAAAAAGGATGAGTTAATGTCCTTTGCAGGGACATGGATGAAGCTGGAAACCATCATTCTCAGCAAACTGACACAAGAACAGAAAGCCAAACCTCATGTTCTCACTCATAAGTGGGTGTTGAACAATGAGAACACATGGACACCGAGAGGGGAACACCACACACTGGGGTCTGTTGGGGGGTGGGGTGCTAGCGGAGGGATAGCAGGGGGTGGGGAGATTGGGGAGGGATAACATTGGGAGAAATATCTAATGTAGGTGACTAGGGGATGGAGGCAGCAAACCACCATGACATGTGTAAACCTATGTAATAATCCTGCAACGTCTGCACATATATCCCAGAACTTAAAGTAAAATAAAAAAGAAATACTTGTGCTTTTTATTATGAACTTCCTCAAATATCTTTTCAAGTAGGTTTATGTAAATAAGTAAGCAAATAAATAAAGGTTCACTTGGACCCAAGTTAGTGCACGAAATGAAGAAATCAATCTACTCAGGAATGGTGAACTGACTGAAGCTTTCCTAAGATGTTAGTTGAAGCAAAAGATCCACATTTCAGAGTATCATGGGAAACAGCAGATTCCAATAAAAATACTGACTTACTGCTCCTATGTATAAAGTGTAGTTTTGTGTGAGAAGGATCAGAGAGATTGTGATTATCTCTAAGCAGTGCAAAAATCGAGTGATAAGCAGGAGAAGAAAATCTAAATAGTTCTGGTAGAGGTATCAGGATTAATAAGTGGGGAGGTTATATGGTGGAAGTTACAGCTAGCCTATAAGAACACCATAATTGGTTTAGTCTACCGATTAGTGTGGCCTTGAGATCTACATCTTAGCATTTACTAAATGGTAGGGAAGAGCAGTTGAGCTCTTAAGTTTCCTCTAGTCCTCACCTTCTATTTGTCCCAAAATTAGTCTACATTGAGTGTCTGAGGCAACTCCACCTTCCACCTTGGATTCCATAAACCAGCTAAGAAATTGATACCCTCTCCCTCACCATTAGTCCCACATCACAGCCCCACTGCTCATGGCTGGAGGGCATATGCAGATTTGAGGGAAGGATGTGACTGGAAGTCTCTGAGACAAGCTCTTCCCTTCCCTCAAGGACATCTCTATTCACTGAAGAATGACATAATAAATGGTCAGCTACCTTTACCCTGCCTTCTGTTGATTTCATAAGGAAAAATTAAATGACTATTCTAATATGCTAGAAATTCACAGACTCAAAATATAAAATAAGAAATGAATCTGTCAGGTTATGTGGTTCAGCTCCCACACTTGATGGATGGGGAAACTGAGGCTTAAAGAGTCACCCAAGGAAACTGGCAAAGACACAGAGCCAAGAAGTCTTGGAGCCAGGACTACAGCCCAGATCTCCACTGCTCCTTGGTGCTTTTTTTTTTTCCCTACAAGTTGGAGCTCAGTCCCTGGGTTGCAATGGATAAATCTTTTGCTAGGCAACCCAGTTGCTAAGCTTTGCTCACATCATTCTTGAGCTCAAAAACCTTTATGGATTTCAGCTATTCATTCCTAGTATAGTCATCCTTTGGTATCCTTGAGGGACTGGTTCCAGAATCTTCTGAGGATACCAAAATCCGGGGATGCTCAAGTCTCTCATATAAAATGGTGTGGTATTTGCATATAACCTACACACATCCTCCTGTATGCTTTAAATCATTGCTAGGTTCTCATAATACCTAATGCAGTGTAAATGCTATGTCACTAGTTGTTATATTGTACTATTTAGGGAAGAATGACAAGAAAATTTCTATATGTTCAGTATAAATGCAATCTTCCATTAATTTTTTCAAATAGTTTTCATCCACAGTTGGTTGAATCCATGGATGTGGAACCCATGAATACAAAGGGTCAGTTGTACAAGGTTCATTTTCTGTCATTATTTGGGCTCTGCCCATGATATTGCTACCTCTTTTTTTTTTTTTTAAATGATGAATTCCCCTCTGGAAGACGAGGTGGAAGGAAGTGGATAGATGCTCTTGCTAAGTAGATTTGACATCTCTCTCACACACCTGTTTTGGGTAATCTTTTCCTGATTTCTCAGTCCGCAGTAGCTCCTCTGTGCAAGTGCCCAGATGTCACATTTCTTAACTTATTTTCTATTTCTTGAGGATCATTTAGTCTTTTTTTCTCTAGGTAGAGCTGGAAAACGAGGTCGTCATCAGAGTTTAACTAGACTATGAATAGAATTCTGTAAGGCACCGACCAATGAGTTTTCTTTTAGGTCAGTCCAGAAGGACTCAGATTCACACCAAAACAAGTGGTTGGTGCATAAGGCTCAGATTGTCCTCCCAGAATTTCCCACCGCCATCCCCAATCCTGCTCCAAGAGCGCCCTCTGCTGGAATAGAACTGGAGCCAACATCCTCAGCCATCTTGGAAGTGGGGCCAACTGGAACTCCAAAAGGATGAAAAGTACGTCCGTTTAATACAAGCTGCAAATAAGGCAGATCCAGTCCACAGTCCTCTTGGCTTTTATTTTTCATTCCCTCTATTTCAATTTCTTTTATAACTTTTCTTAAAAGATCATCATGTTTAAAAAATAGAATTTAAAGAGGGGAAATGTAGTCCAGTGAAATGGGCATAAAACTAAGAATTCTGCTTTTTTTTTGAGAGGTTTAATTGCTGGGTTACAAAGAATAATTTCTTGGAATAACTCACTTTCGAATCTCGGATTGTAATTACTCCTTCAGTTAAAAACCTTCATATTCCGTTCATTGCCTGCTAAGTTAATATTCTTTACTTAGCTTTCAAGGTATATTTGTAAATTCATAATACAATATTTAGTTTGTATTTCATTTATCAAAGCTAATAGTATCTTTACACAAAAATTTTACTCTGATCCACTTTTTCGAAAATAAAAAGATATTGAAAATGTTTAAAGTATATTTGAATATCAAAGTGATATGTTTCACTTTAAAAATCATGCTGAGCACTTAATCTGCTTATAATTTTGAACAAAAAGAAGACCCTAATTAAATGATTAGCTTTGGAATTCATAGGTTGAATTCTATCTTTAGCATGTTAGTCCTAACTTGTTTAGGATTGAGACAAGGTGAAACGACATAAAAAATTTGGGGGAGTTGATATAACCTTTGAGGTGTCATTTAGACAAAGGAAGAGGCCGTGATTAGGAATATACCTACTGAGGCCGGGCGCGGTGGCTCAAGCCTGTAATCCCAGCACTTTGGGAGGCCGAGGCGGGTGGATCCCGAGGTCAGCAGATTGAGACCATCCTGGTCAACATGGTGAAACCCCGTCTTTACTAAAAATACAAAAAATTAGCTGGGCATGGTGGTGCGTGCCTGTAATCCCAGCTACTCAGGAGGCTGAGGCAGGAGAATTGCCTGAACCCAGGAGGAGGAGGTTGCGGTGAGCCGAGATCGCGCCATTGCACTCCAGCCTGGGTAACAAGAGCGAAACTCCGTCTCAAAAAAAAGGAATATACCTATTGAATAAACATAGCAATATGGTAGACACTAGAATTATGCCAAAAAGTTGAAAAGTAAAGCTGGATGAAACCGGAGAGAATACTCCACCATCTTATAACTCAGATGGTGAAACGAGACCCAGAAAGAACATAAGACTTTTCCCAAAGTCTTATGGTCAGTTATTGCAGGAGTCTGAGCTGGAATTTAGTCATCCAATTCTCCATCCACTGTTCTTATCACCACCTAACACTAGCCTTGTTTAACTGCCTTTCTTGCATAAAAAGGGCCTTACAGGTGAGAGATCCCATAGTGCCATTGGAAGTTGCTGACTAAATCCCCATATAATTTCCAAAAGTTTCCAAACTCAGAGCCTGTCTCATTTCACTGTATCCTTAAGAGGCTGAGAAATGGGGCATTCAGATTATTTCCCCATGCTGACTCTTCCTTCTGTTTACACATGGGCCGGCCAGATGTTAGAGAAAAAAAAAAAAAAAGCAAAACATTTGCAGCTGTTATCAGGGGTAGGATGGAGCACATGAGGTTCCCAAGTTTTGATCCAACACATCAGAACACACTTGACTTTTACTCCTGGCTTGGAGTTCATTGCCTTCAGCTTCTTCTACAAAGCCTGAACTTTGCCACCTCATGTCAAAGCCTGCACAGAGAGATGCCAGTGGCATCTTGAACTAACTTCAGCCCATCACCACAGTGGTCTGGATAACCAAGGCAGTGACTGCTTCATGACAAGTTAAGAGATCCCTCTCTCTTCATCCCCTGCTTTCATTTTTTTTTTTTTTTTTTTTTTTTTAAGTGAAAGGCCAGTGGTTCTCTCAAGCAGCCAAAGGCCAGGAGGGGCACTAGGTAAGAGACAGAAAGAAATGTTCTTAGTGAGAAGAATGTGAACTTTAGAGTTATGTAAAACCCAATTTTAATCCTGGCTCAGTCATTGACTGGCAGTTTGATTTTGAGTTATTTACGTTGGAGCTTTATTATTCTTGCTTATTTATTGAACTATTAATTGAAAAAGTTATTCTAGTCCTAGACCCCTATTTTACAGCTAGAGAAACTGAGGCATGACCTAATATTTGTTCAAATAAACAAATTTCTTACTTAAAGGATAACAGTCAATGATTAATAGTGTCCACCAAGACATCACAAATAAGCGATAGCTTGAAATTACGTATGAAGGATAGGTTAGATATCAAAAACTTTCTTGGAAGGGAGCATTGTGAAACCTCTATTTCTTAGAAATCTTTAAAAATATAATAGCCACACATGCTGAATGAGCTTAAATGAGGCATTACTTACTAGGATAGATGACTTCTCTAGTGTTTTCCCAGTTAAAAGATCCAAGACTTGGGTTCCTTCTTTCAAGGGGAGTAATGTAAAAAGTCTGACCCCTAGTGGTCATCGTCTCTGTGAAGGACCTAAGGGAAAAGGCCAAAAACAATGATGACAACCAGATTTTATTTATGGAATTAAAAATGAACCTTAGAAATTTTGTAGTCAAATTGCTTAATTCTAAACAAGGGAACTTAGACCAAGTGAATATGAATATTTCCCTGACACCAGCGACTTTGGAGTCAAGCTTGGTATGGAACTGAGGACCTTTTGCTGGTGCTCTGGGTTCAAGATCCAGTCCCTTCATCTTCCAGAGTCTCCCACCTGGAATCAGCCCATTGGTGACATAGAGACAGCAGATATATGCTGATTCAACTTTCAGGGCACAGACTTCAGTGCTTATTCTCTCCTTTTCTTTCATGATGAGGAGCACTTAATTGTTCAGTAGATGTAATGCTCACTTAATCAACCTAAGTTCTCCAATCCTTGGGACATTCTGGCAGATGCTCACAGCATGCTAAATGCTCATAGATGGTGGGCTGCTTTCTAGTTTCCTGATGCCTGTCTTCTTCCATTATCAAACTGCATGCATACAAAGAACCAGCTGATTTTTTCCCCCAAACCCGTTTATGCTACTCGTATTAGTAAATGCAATTATATAATTGAAACATTATGCAAATGGATGAAATGTAAGTATGAAAATAAAGAAGCTATGTCAATGAAAATTAAATTGATTGCTTTGGAAGGTTCAAGAGGGAAGAATTGCTGAAAAAATGACCTAAAATTAGTTTGCGGATGAGACAACTGTGGAAGAATAACACAAAGATTAAAATCTAGAATAATTCTGCAAGTTTCTAAGGCTTTTATCCACTACAAAGAATAAAAGAATAGACAACAAAAACAAAGATATCTGAAACTTGAACTAATAGAGGGTGCATGATGTGAGTGGTTTATTCAGGAAAAATGAGATGGAACTTCAGAAATGGAAAACACGTGCGTAAAGAAAGGCCTTGGCTCTACCCTATGGCAAACAAATGTCTTAAGTTAAAATACATGCATTTATATGATTCCTAGCTTTAGCCAAAATTTCTGATTAGCTGACATAGAACTGTAATAGATGAGAGTGTTTCTTTAGTATCAAGAGTCAGATACCAAAGCAAGATCCAGGAAAACCGGTTTATTTAATATCTCCTGAGTGCTAATCTCTTGAGGGTTTGGTCTTTTAAAAATTCCTGTAAGGTCTCTTTTGACTTCCGAAGTCTCCCTTTGCAGGCACTTTCCACGGATCCTTTTCCCCTTGACAGTAAGTAAGCTTTGTCTCAGAACTAGGCACCAATAATTCAGCTTCCAAACCCTCTAAGAAATTAATGTTTGTTCACATTAGCAAATCAGTAATATTCCCTGAAAATTTAGAACTAGATCCAATGTTTGAGATCTTAAGATTTCAGTAGTGTCGGGCCATATGTGGGCACTATCAATATTACTCCTTGCTTTTTCAAAATGTATAAGCCATAAACACGAACACACCCATGTAAGTAGCCTTGTCTTCTGGGGAATGCATGCTATAGAAATAATATGACTGTGCAAAGATGTTCATTGCAGCATTACATGTAATAGCAAATACACTAGAAGCAACTTAAGTATTTAGCAACAAGGCAATCATTTTATTGTGATATTTGGCCAAATATCATTTGGTAGTTATTACTGGTTACTTATGTAGTCATGAAAATGTCTCTGTTTGAAATGAAGAAAAAAAAGGCCAAAAAAAAAAAAAAATTAGAACAGCCCAGATTTTGTTTTTGGAATTAGAAGTGAACCTTGGAAATTTCATAGTCAAATTTCCCAGTTCTAAAGTATAATTGTTATCAATAAGAAGAGTTGTTCATGATAGTATACTAAGTGAACAAAAAAATAAAAACGAATGAACTTCATGATTGCCAACAGTCAATAAAGGTATGAAATTGATGAACTGGGAAAGATTTATGGTTTTTACCTTTTGCTAATTTTTCTTTTCTGTTTTATTCTTTCCGTGATTGTAAAACCCCACATTATGCAATAATCCACCAGTTTTTCAACACTGGCATTCTGGGAGGCCTTGAGGTACCTGGGGTTTGACTTCAAGTTGCTTAGAACACACAGAATCACCCCTCTAGAGGAGTGAGGATTAGGTAAGAGCTTACTCAATTATAGGTGGACTGGGTTGGAAGATGCCTTTGAGATCATTAAGATGAATTATACCACTTAAAAGCAATTTGATCTTGAATAAGTACTTGTCTTTGCTGTACCTCAGTTTCCTTACCTGAAAAAATGGCATAATAAAAGCATCTATGCCTCAGTTTTGTGGCGAAGTTTAAATGATATAAATACAATAGATGGCACAGAGTAAGCTCTTAATTCATGTTAGTTATTGGTATCACAGAAGCCAGTGGTTGAGCCAGGGCCGGAATTCACTTTTTTCAACTTTCTTACTGGGGCTTTTTCTATCACGAAATGTCACAGATCTTTGATCTTTATCCAGACTAAAATCCTTTGCTTTGGTGAACACTGGATAAGAGAAAGCCTATGCCAATAATACCGAGGATACCGTGACTTTTCATAACTTTTGCCAGTGAGGTGACCAACAACATACACGGTAGCCAGCACCACCTGTTAAAATGGTCAGGGATATCGTAAGGAAAGGGTACCTACTGAACTGAAAGCATGCCTTCAGGAAGACAGAATTTGGGCTTACATTCTGCGACAATGCATGTCCTGCTTGGGTTCTTATTTTGCACTTGCTTTTATGAACCTCAGTTTTCTTATGGGATAAATGAAAATAGTTCTTCTTATACAGATGTAATGTGAGTTGCCACATGTAAAATGCAATGCAGTTCAAAGTAGTGGTTTTTTTTTTTTTTTGAGACGGAGTTTCGCTCTTGTTACCCAGGCTGGAGTGCAATGGCGCGATCTTGGCTCACCACAACCTCCGCCTCCTGGGTTCAGGCAATTCTCCTGCCTCAGCCTCCTGAGTAGCTGGGATTACAGGCACGCGCCACCATGCCCAGCTAATTTTTTGTATTTTTAGTAAAGACGGAGTTTCACCATGTTGACCAGGATGGTCTCAATCTGCTGACCTCGGGATCCACCCGCCTCGGCCTCCCAAAGTGCTGGGATTACAGGCTTGAGCCACTGCGCCCGGCCAAGTAGTGATTTTTTTTTTAAATTATTTTATTAAAAAAGTTATATTGTATGTTTTCTACAGTAGACATTATTCCAAGGGATTTACAACAATGAATTCATTGAATGGACTTCTTATAGCGATTCTATGAGGCAGGTACTATCATTGTCATTGCTTTACTGAGAGAGGCACAGGAATGTTGAGTAACTTACCCAACATCACAGAAGTGGTAAGTGGTGGAGCTGAGGTTTGAATCTAGACATTCTGGCCATGGAATCCATGCACATCCCCATGCTGCCTTATTATCACTGGAACAACTTTGGCCTAAAAGAAACCAAAGTCAAATATAAATTCTAGAATCTGTTCTTCGTTCTTACAAGGTTCCATTCAGTTCAGTTCCGTTTAATCCACTGCCATCTGATTCATTCCAATTCAATTCAGTTTCATTCATCTCAACTCCAGAAATACTTTTTTGAATGTTTATTTTGTGTCAACAGGCACTGTATTCAGCATTGTGAGAGGGGAGAGGACCCAAGATATCTGCGATTTGATGGGCAAGGGTAAGTCACATATAGAAATGATGGTATATGAGTATGGAATGGAGAAGGCTGTTTCAAGAAAGAACTTCAAATCTGCAACTGCGAGGATCAGAATAAGGATGTTGTGCCATCTCTCCTGTCTACTGCTCGTTGAATGAAAATTGGCCCATTCATGAGGGCAGACAGGGGTCTCCTGGAACCACAGAGTGCGGGTAGAGGAAAAGTTGAAACTTAGCTTCTCTGGACCCCTGCAAAGCATAGGGTCTCAGACTGGGCTTATGTCTTCAACAGTGAGACCACTGCCCTCCGTCTAGCTCCAGCTGCAGTGACCAACAGCCTTTGGCTGCCATTCTAAGCTAAGATAAAGTCATTTCTTTGGCCTGATAAATATGATTCTTCGTCCTCCCTCTCCTACTAAGCTTTTCGAGGAAAACCTGCATATTGATGTGGGATTTTATGTTTTTTGATTATTCAAGGAGACAGTTTATATACACCTTGCACAGGTCCAGTCCGTAGTTAGTGCATTGAAGGGGGCAAAGGTGACCCCAAACCTTTATAATCTGACCACATTCCCAAGTCAAATGGCTCACATGCCTGACTGTGTATGAAGTCATCTTCCTCTTTTAGGGAGCTCTATATTCCTGTTCCAAGATGAAAATTGGAAAAACCCAGGCAAAGCATCTAAGACCATGTTCTTGCTTGTCTAGTGGTTGCAGTCTACGGAATTTGAGTATTCCCCATGGGTAAACTGCTCCCTTACACAATACTTTTGACGTTACACTATTAAAATGGCTTGCATATTAAAATTTGAGGCATGTGTAAATACCTCATAATTAACTGCTGTCTATTTAACCAGACAACTTTAGCAACTTAATTTGATGTCTGTTATGAGACTTAATAGTTGTCAGTGATTTTTTAAAACAATTTACTGGTATAATCATTAACTACTCCTAGATTATCTTGTCAAATTGATAATTAAATGGCTCAAAAATTCATTACAGAGTTAGTATATTAATGGGAATGTAATTAAATAATGTTTGCTTGTGTAATCTAGAGTTTATTACCTGTATACTTATTTATTTTTTCTATACTTTGTTAAATCTTCCTAGAGGCCTTTTCAGAATCAGTAGAAAACCAAGTCAATAAATGTCTTATTAGATCCAAATAAACCACTTAATCGAGATACTGAAATAAATATGGAGTCTCCATATACATGGAGAGGTAGGAGAAATCATTACCATTTCATATACGATTATATTTGAGAAAACAAAGCTCCTTTCCTTCCTTGTTCTATTTCCTTTTGCACTCTTTCTTTCTCCCTTCCTTCCACCCTTCCTTTCTTTCTTTCTTCCCTTTTCCTATCTTTCCCTCTTTCCTTCTCTCCCTTCCACCTTCCATTTCTTTTTTCCCCTCCCTTCTTTTCCTTTTTTTGAGAAAAAGAAATACAAAGCTCTTTTCTTTCTTTCTTTTTTTTTGAGATGGAGTTTCGCTCTTGTTACCCAGGCTGGAGTGCAACGGTGCGATCTCGGCTCACCGCAACCTCCACCTCCTGGGTTCAGGCAATTCTCCTGCCTCAGCCTCCTGAGTAGCTGGGATTACAGGCACGTGCCACCATGCCCAGCTAACTTTTTGTATTTTTAGTAGAGACAGGTTTTCACTATGTTGACCAGGTTGGTCTTGATCTCTTGACCTCGTGATCCACCCGCCCTGGCCTCCCAAAGCGCTGGGATTACAGGCATGAGCCACCGCGCCCAGCCTGAAGTTCTTTTCTTTCTTTCATCAAACATTTAAGTGTCTGCTATGTGCTAACCATTGTGTAAGATACTGAGGCTATAGAAGGTGTCATTTTGGCCTAACATAGAAAGACCTGTAAAATATTGTGATGCAACATGCTTAATGCAACCCTAGAGGCCTGTACAAAGTGCTAAAGAAACACAGAGAAAGGAACAACTATCTGTACTTGGAGACAGGGAAGATTTTCTTAGAGAGATTAACATTTGTGCTTGACAGAGAATAGGAGGTAGGAGTTTGCCAGGGGAAAAATGTTAGAGAGGGGCATTCCAGGTAGAGGGAAGAGTGTGTGCAATAGCCTAGAGAGGGAGGACAGGAAGCATTCATGAGTGACATGGAAAGGAATAAATTTTAAACTGCTGAGTGTCAAGATCAGACCTGTGCTTTTTGAAGGATAACCTGGGATGATAGGCTAGAGATTTTAGTAGCTCCCATTTATACAGTTATGATGTTCCATGGCTTGCCCTGATATCACTGAATTCTCAAGACATGTATACAAACTGCAGTCTGCCTGGCCCTGCCCTGTGCCACCCACCCTCCTTCTTGTGATCATCATGTGCTCAGGGTTTTGGTTTTACAGGTTGCAGCGGATCTCTGCTCTTTTGTCACTGTAAAGTTATTCATACTTGTCAGATTACATATTCAAATTTTGAGTTGGATAAATAAGATTCACAGCATATTTCAACCTGGGTCACCTAAACATACTAATACTTAGCTCAGTTATTCTCGGAAATGCTGTAACGTACCCAGGAGGTACAGACATCAAACTCAAGGATGTTTGGTTATATGAACAACTCTAGATGCAAATTAGAAGGGAATAGGCCTTAAATTAATGACTTTGTGAGTTTCCAAGCTCCTAGATAGAATCCAGCCATTCAACCTTCTTATCCTTCATGACTACTGAGACACGCAGGAGTCAGTGATAGTACTTTTCGTCCCCTTCCAAGTGTCAATCACCATAAAAGTCACTGCCTACCTGGCATTGCTCCCATATGCATACATGTAAGAGGTTGTATTATGGTTAGGACTAAAAGGCTGTAGATATTTCAGAGGCAAATATTCAGATTCAAGGCATATGGTTAGAGGGAAGTGCTGCCTTGTCCATCAGATCTTGGCTTCCAAGTACTGATCAACAGACTTGCAGAATTCTTTTCTCTGAGAGGGGTTGCTCCTCCAAGAACTGCCCCTTGGAGGCAGTTGCTGAAGTTGGCTGTTGACCTGTGTGCATCCTCAGTTATTCTGTGAGCTCCGTGAGAGTAGGGACCATGACTATTGTGGAAGTATAGCACAATGGTGAAATGTGCAGGATTTAGGGCCAGGCAACCTGGGCCAGTCTTACTTCCTGACTTTTCTGCTTATCTACTATGGCTTTGGGCAAATTATTGAACTTATTCAAGCCTTGGTTTTCTCATCTGTGATATGAAGATAATAAATATACCTACCTTATAGTTTTGTTAAAAAAATTAAATGAGATAGTACATGTCAAATCTGGAAATAATCCCATCAAAAAGTGGGTGAAGGATATGAACAGACACTTCTTAAAAGAAGACATTTATGCAGCCAACAAACATACACAAAAATCTCATCATCACTGGTCATTAGAGAAATGCAGATCCAAATCACAATGAGATTCCATCTCACGCTAGTTAGAATGGCAATCATTAAAAAATCAGGAGACAACAGATGCTAGAGAGGATGTGGAGAAATAGGAACACTTTTACACTGTTGGGAGTGCAAATTAGTTCAACCACTGTGGAAGACAGTGTGGCAGTGATGTCTCAAGGATCTAGAACCAGAAATACCATTTGATCCAGCAATCCCATTCCTGGGTATATACCCAAAGGAATATAAATCATTCTATTATAGACACATGCACACGTATTTTACTGTGGGACTGTTCACAATAGCAAAGACCTGGAACCAACCCAAATGCCCACCAATGATACACTGGATAAAGCAAATGTGGTACATATACCCCATGGAATACTACGCAGCCATAAATAGATGATTTCATGTCCTTTGCAGGGGCATGGATAAAGCTGGAAACCATCATTCTCAGCAAACTGACACAAGAACAGAAAACCAAACACCGCATGTTCTCACTCATAAGTGGGTGTTGAACAATGAGAACACATGGACACAGGGAGGGGAACATCATACATTGGGGCCTGTTGGGGGTTGGGGAGCTTGGGGAGGGATAGCAGGGGGTGGGGGGATAGTGGAAGGATAGCATTAGGAGAAATATCCAGTGTAGATGATGGGATGATGGATGCAGCAAATCACCATGGCACGTGTATACCTATGTAACAAAGCTGCACATTCTGCACATGTGCCCCAGAACTTAAAGTATAATAGTAATAAAAAAGAAAGTGTTTAAGGGATGCTGGGTATTTATTATTTTCATTTGTTACTGTTGTTGTTCCCTTCATGTTTCTAGTACCTAGAACAATGTTTAGCACACAACAGTTATTCAACAGATACTGAAAGAATGCAAAAGAAAGTCTCTATCCCAGCAGATGCTTATACTGGAATTAATGGACTCTAAGGGTCAGAAAAAAATGGAAGGGGACCGCATTACGTGGGACGGGTTTGCAAACTTTAAGACCTATTTCAACGTTTTGTTTTTACCAATAACAAGAACACATCTACTGTACTGATAATGAACAATATTGGCATAACAAAGAATTAGAAAAAATTTTAGGCCAGTATCTTACTAGATTTCCACTCCAACCTTGTGGGGGAAAGTATTATTATACTACCCACTTTGTAGGTAAGGAAATTGATGTTGAGAGAGAGGAAGTATCTTGTCCAACCACCACACATCTGGTAAACAGAGATGCTGAGGTTAGAACTTGGTCTTCTGGCTCATTGTTCTTTCCTCTTCCTGGGAACGAACCCAAAACTAATTCACCCTGGCACTGGGTCTCTGACAGAGGCGTTGGAGGGCATTTTGCAGAAGAGCTTGGTTTGTTGCCCTGATTGCAACAGCCAGAGTAGGAGTGTACCTCCTAGATAGCTAGATTTCTTACAGTCATTCATTAAGAATCTCTCACCTATGAGTTTGGCTAAGGCTTTTGAAGCTCATTTTCAGCTCAGCCTGTACCTTGGTTTTGAATCCCATTTTCTTTGGCATTTGAGTGCATCCCCTTCAGTGTGCTGGGTTTTCCCCAGTGAAAGCTAAGCTGATACTACCAGTCCTTGCTCTGAGCGTAGAAACCAGAGCCCTGAAGGTCTTTCAACCTACGTTATTTAGGCAAACTAGACATAGAAGTTTAATTACACCATTGCTCAACTTCATAGATCCTTCAGATTGCCTTCAGAGAAAAACGTTTCTCCCAATAATTCAAACCCCTGATAATTTCCTCTGAGAAATTACAAGCAGATTGCAAAATCAGCATAGTTATCCACTATCTGACCTTTTCTTCAGTCCCATTGTCTTGTACCTCCTTGCTGCACTGCATGTGTTTGACAATTTGACCTCTAGTACCTCCTGAAATTTAATGTTCTCCTACACCTGCAGCCTGGCCTTCTCTAGGAACCTCATTGCTTTTTCCTTCTCTACCTTTTAATTTTGGCCATTTCCCTAAGTCTAAGCCTGTGGTCCTCTGTTTTTTCTTTCTTCTTACCTGCTCTGCCAGTGTTGTGCTAGGCACTAGGTAAACAAAGACATGTAAAACACCATATCTAACCTCAAGGAAGCCACAGTCACGTAGAGGGTGAATGGAGGTGTGAACAGAGACCTCCAAGTGTAATACACTTTCGTGCTTTGATAGCAGTTGGGACTTGAGTTGAGGGAGAAGTACAGTAAACTGAGAAGGACAGAGAAGTTGCAATAAAAGAGATCTTCAGAGATGTCTTAAAAGATGAGTAGATGTTTTTCATTCAGACAAGGAAAGAAAGGAGAGTTGAAATCAGAGTACAAGAAACTTTGGGTTTCATTTTCTAAAGCTTTGCAGTGGAGGTAAAAATACGTATATTGCAATGTTGTTGAAAGCATTGGCAATGATGTGTATAAACAGAGTCTGACACTTAGTAGATAATCAATGAATGACCAATAATAATAATAACCCCCCCTTTTCTTACCAATCTTATTTTCTTTTTTTTGTAAAAAGATGAGATTGGAGTAGAAAATTTTAAAGGCCTTTCTAAATCTCATATCCCAACATGTCTTTAAAATCCTCCAGGGAAATTCATCAGCAGTGCAATCCCTGCTCCCCTGTATGTTCTCCTAATGCTGACCACGCCTCAGCATTCTCTCCCCTCCAAACACACTAAGGGATCATCAATTTTACTGACCAACAAATGCTACCTCATTATGTATATTTCACTGTTTTATTGTTGAACTTTATACATGGGCTAAACATGTCTCCCGTACTTGATTGTAAAATTCCTGAAATAAGAATGGGTACCACCGGATTCAGAAAAGGAATAAGATATCAGAACTCTGACTCAGGTACCTACTGGCTACCACAGCTTGGGTAAATTGATTAACATCCATTTTCTCATGTATTAAATAGGGAGCATGCTAATGGCCACTTAAAAAATTATTATAATGTTTAAATGAAATAATTCATATGATGGTACTTTGTAAACTATAAAAATTATAAATATAATAATTTTATATTGCATTTATTTCTATATATTAATAAAGACTCTTTTGGTTGCAACTAACAGAAATCCAACATAAAGAAGGCTAAGCAGAAAAGCATATTTGGGGATTGTAACTGAATAATTTCAACAAATATGCTTCTCTCAGCTATGTTTCTTCTCTGTAGATTTCTTTTTTTTCTTTTTTCCATCCTTTTACTTTGACTCTGTACATGTCTTTATTAGTTAGCTGGGTATCTTGTATGCATGTAGCACATGGTTGGATAGTTTTAAAATTATGTATGTATTTATTTATTACTTCAAGTTCTGGGATACATATGCAGAATATGCAGGTTACATAGCTACACATGTGCCTATGTAACATTGCTGCACCCATCAATCCATCATCTACATTAGGTGTTTCTCCTAATGCTATCCCTCCCTTTGTCCCCTACTCCTGACAGGCCCCACTGTGTGATGTTCCCCTCCCTGTGCTCGTGTGTTCTCATTGTTCAACACCCACTTATGAGTGAGAACATGTGGTGTTTGGTTTTCTGTTCCTGTGTTAGTTTGTTGAGAATGATAGTTTCCAACTTCATCCATGTCCCTGCAAAGGACATGAGCTCATTCTTTTTTTATGGCTGCATAGTATTCCATGATGTATATGTGCCACATTTCTTTATCCAGTCTAACATTGATAGGCATTTGGCTTGGTTCCAAGTCTTTGCTATTGTGAATAGTGTTAATAAACATACGTGTGCATGCGTTTTTATAGCTAGATTTATAATCCTTTCAGTATACACACAGTAATGGGATTGCTAAGTCAAATGGTATTTTTGGTTCTAGATCCTTGAGGAATCACTGCCACACTGCCTTCCACAATGGTTGAACTAATTTACACTCCCACCAAACAGTGTAAAAGTGTTCCTATTTCTCCACATCCTCTCCAGCATCTGTTGTTTCCTGACTTCTTAATGATTGTCATTCTAACTGGCCTGAGATAGTTTCTCATTGTGGTTTTGCTTTGCATTTCTCTAATGACCAGTGACGATGAGCTTTTATTCATATGTTTGTTGGCCACATAAATGTCTTCTTTTGAAAAGTATCTGTTCATATTCCTTGCCCACTTTTTGATGGGGTTGTTTTTTTCTTGTAAACTTTTTTAAGTTCCTTGTAGATTCTGGATATTAGTCCTTTGTCAGATGGATAGATTGCAAAAGTTTTCTCCCATTCTCTAGGTTGCCTATTCACTGTGATGATTGTTTCTTTCACTGTGCAGAAGCTCTTTATTTTAGTTAGATCACATTTGTCAATTTAGGCTTTGCTGCAATTGCTTCTTGTGTTTTGGTTAAGAAGTCTTTGCCCATGCCTATGTCCTGAATCGTATTGCCTAGGTTTTCTTCTGGGGTTTTTATAGTTTTAGGTCTTACATTTACGTCTTCAATCCATCTTAAGTTGATTTTTGTATAAGTTGTAAGGAAAGGGCCCAGTTTCAGTTTTCTGCTTATGGCTAGCCAGTTTTCCCAATGTCATTTATTAAATAGGGAATCCTTTCCCCATTGCTTGTTTTGATCAGGCTTGTCAAAGATCAGATGGTTGTAGAGGTGTGGTATTATTTTTGCGGCCTCAGTTCTGTTCCATTGGTCTATACAACTGTTTTGGTATCAGTACTATGCTGTTTTGGTTATTTGGTTACTGTAGCCTTGTTGTATAGTTTGAAGTCAGGTAGCATGATGCCTCCAGCTTTGCTCTTTTTGCTTAGAATTGCCTTGACTGTATGGGCTCATTTTTGGTTCCATATGAAATTTAAAATAGTTTTTTCTAATTCTGTGAAGAAAATCAATGGTAGCTTGATGGGAATAGCATTAAATCTGTAGATTACTTTGGGCAGTATGGCCATTTTCATGACATTGATTCTTCTATCCATGAGCATGGAGTATTTTTCCATTTGTTTGCATCCTCTCTTATGTCCTTGAGCAGTGGTTTGTAGTTATCCTTGAAGAGGGCCTTCACATCTCTTATAAGTTTTTGGGCATATCTTTCTCTGGGTGCCTCTCAGCAGCTGCAGGTTTGTATCATATCCATTTAACAATCTTAATCAAAAGTGTTTTTTCCCCAAGTAATTCTGGCAAAAATCCAAGAATCAGTTGTCCATGTTCTGAAATGGGCATGCGCCTATCTATAATTCTGTCACAGTGGCTATTGAAGTTAGATACGCTGATTGGTGAAGCCTAGGTCTATTCCACTGCTGGAACTTAACCCGAGGAAGGTCAGCTCCTCACTACATAGATTGAGAGTGGGGGGGGGGTTCCCTAAAGGAAAACTGTGATGCTGTTGCCAGAATATGGGAAAGTAGGTGCTTAAAAGGCTGTAACTACAGCATCACTATGGCAGCCTTGTAAATCAAGGCCCTACGAGCTAAAAGGGCAGATATTCTTTGTGACGATGCCATGATGCACACATTGGAACAATGCTGTGATGAATCACAGTCCATGTCTTGTGAGGTGAATCAATGCATTCAACAAGAAATCTAAAAGAAGACAAATTGTGGAAAGTTCCAAAACAGGGGTATCCACAGGGCATATATTGGGAGTCCAACCAACGTTTAATTGCGTTGATGTTCGTTTCAAACTGGCCTCAAGTTTTCTTATACTGGCATTGGTGAGCATGAGAGTGAGAGTAACAGAGAAAGTTCTGAGACCATATTTTTAAACAAAGTCTTTGAGAATAAAACATTCATTCATTTGAATACCTGTCTGAAAGCGGGAGGGCCTCTGATGAGTTCAGCCCAGGACAACCTCAGCGCTATGGAGCCAGGCTGCCAGGAGGCAGGAAAGGGCAGAGCCTGCAGCCACAGGAGTGTATTGTTTTTTGCCAGCTGGGGCTGCTTCCTCCTCCCACCAGTCTCCAGGCAGCCGATCCTCCACCCTTTGGTGCCTTTTCTGGTGGGCATGGTTGCCGCCAGAGCTAGGACTGAGCGTGGACAGCGAGATGAGCTCACCAGAGGAGTGGGACCATCTCAGTGTCGACGCTGCATCCTAGCTCTGGTGGCAGTTGGCTACAGTAGTTGGCAGTTACTGGAGAGAATCTAGTGAGAGACTTGGGAAATGCCAGGAATGGCTCCTGACTTCGTGCTGCTGCTACTTTGGGGAAATGGACTAGGTTAAGGAACTAAAAGATCTTCCAGCTTTCCTTTCTCCTCCTCTCGGACCCTGCCTTCCTCCCTAACTCTTTTCCCCACCAACTGTCCTCCTTTCTCATTTTCCTGTTTGCCCCTTCTGCTAGGATGAAATTCTCTATGGGATAGCATTACTATCTTTATAATAAACAAAGTCCCAGTTAGGGGGCATGTATCAAGACAAAAAAATGCAAACTCTGTCTTTAAACTTTCATTGTAATTGCAGGAGCATCCCCACAGGCAATAAACCCAGGGAAGGCAGTGGTGATCCCAGAGACAGGCATATCTTGTAGTTTTGATAGTTCAGAAGCAGGAGAAGTGACTTCAGCTGGGCGTTCATTGAATGGTTCCTGAGGTAGGTTTTATTTAAATTAGATCTTTTTATTTAAGTTAGATCTTGAAAAAAACACAAATTAACCTGGCAAAATGAGCAAGGGATGCACGCAGGCACAGCTCTAGGTAGGACTCAAGCTTCATGTGCTAATGTCTACATCGTTTGCTGATTACTAGAGTTCCTCACTCAGAGCTTGAAGTTTTAGTTTACACAAACTGCTAATAAACTTGGCTGCCTATAGATGTACACAAGACCAAAAACAGCACATTCGATGTGGCAGAAGGGGTTGCAATAAGCAGGCCTACTAAAAAGGAAGACAAGTACAGGTTGATGGTTTGATAAGAAGTGAGGAGGTAGAAAACAAAATAAACAGAATCCCCCCCACCCCCCCACAAATCCTCAGCAACTTAAAAATCACAGCAATCCGGATTGAGTGTGGAGGCAAGTGGTGTTTTAAATTTAGAGAGTCCTCTAGAATGTCATCTGATATTTCAGGGAAGAAAGTGACAGGCTACAGTGTGGACCCCTTGTGAAAGGCTAAATTATTTTCTTTATGCTTTATCTTAGAAGATAGACAAATGCATAATCGATTTTAGAAAGAGTCCCATCCCAATCAAGTTACAACAAAGTTTGTATAAAAACCACAAACCTTCAGCATTTGGAATGCTACATATCAGAGAAGGAACAATTTGGTTTGACTTTTAATAAATTCCAAAGTTCTGTGGATCACTTCACGTCATACACTCTCATCCACACTCCTTCTTATCCCGTCTATGCCTCCTCCACTCCTAAGATTTCTTTTGCTTCTTCCTTAAGACTTTCAGCAGCTCCCCTCCGGAGTCTGGTGCACGGAGCTCCTGCTGGTGCCTCTTCATTGGCATTCCCAATAGGCCAATGAGGGGGTAGTGGGAGAAGCTCAGAGGCAGGTGCTACCTGGACATAGGTCTTGGCTTCCAATCTAAGAGCTGGACATTTTAGAAAAGTCACTTCCCTTCTCTGAGCCTTTGTTTTCCCATTTGGTAAATAAGAATAAGAACCCTTTTTCATGGAGCTGTTGTGAAAACAAAAGGCAGGAATGCATGTCAGCATGCTGAATAAACTGGGCAATGGTTCCATTCCCAATTCCTGCAGAACAATCATAACTCTCCCCTCCCCTCTAGTTATCATGTGATGTGGACCTGTCTCCATCCATTGCTTGTTAATTTACTTGAGGCTGTGTTTTCCCTGGTTTCTGCTGTGTTTTGCTGTTTTCAGTATCTCCCTGAGGAAAGGCTGTCTTGAGCTCTGCAGGTCATGCTTGTTGCATAAACCCGGAGGAGGGACACTATGCACGTAGCTGATAATGTGACTAGGGTCCTCCACGGTTGTGTGATGCAGGGGCCCTGACCACAGGGCCTCATGTGCTGCTGTGTCTGTATATGTCCAACATTAGTGACTCTTTTTCTATCCTTAATATTTAAGCCCTGTCCTGAGGCATAAAATTACTATATACTGACCGTGATTTGAAAATTTTGCACTGGATTATTCAACTTCAAGCCTAGCTTTCAATTTCCCATTTCAGTTTTGACTGGACTACACTGGTCACCACCTTGAGAGAATTTTCCCAGCCACAGAAGTCTGCTGGTGAAGAGGGTCTTTAGACTGGCACGATTTCAAAGTAAATATAAGTAAAATAATTGGCAACTCTGATATTTAGGCTTTGGCGTTTTAATCCCCAAATCTTTGAAAAATGGGCGCATCTCAATAGCCAGGCTTGAAAAGGGCGGTGGGGAAGGGGGAAATCACAGCATATTTCTGCTGCACTCTCCTCTTCCCACTGTAATCAGTATGAGGACTTTGTAGCATCTGAAATCTTGTGGTCTAACTGCTATTTGTTTCTGAAGGGCTTCAGTTTCTTCATCTGTGTACTGGGACTAATCATACCCAATCCAAGGGTTGCTAAGAGTAATCTGAGATGCTATGTACATGCATCCAGACACAGAGCCAGACCCCTGACAGGTACTCTCAAAAACAATAGGTGAACCTGAAACCATGGTGACAAACAGCCTGCGTCTCCTCTTCTCTGACAATGCTTTTCTAGATTGGGGAGTTCTGACATAGAACGTTCTGTCTCACAGTGTTGAAATGCTATATCTATGTGTCACTTCCACCTATGAGACCCCCGGGCAAGGATGGGGTGTCTTCCCATTTTCTTAGTGCCCTCACTCTGTCCCCTAGTGAGGACAGACAACAGAGAGCTGCTGTGGTCAGTGAGCCGAGGAGCCAGACAAGGCTCTGTGGTTACATACTTATTTGGTTTCTTATTTATTACTTTTGCAGCTAACATTTTTACAATCATGTTATTTTGCGGTTTATTTGCAAAATGCATTGTGAGCCAAGTTTGCTTCAAATGTGCTCTGAGTCAGAAAAGGGTTGTACAGGGGACCCAGAGAGAGGGGAGGGGAGGGCAAAGAGCAGTTGCAAAAACATTATATAATTGATATATCTGTTATTGCTCCTTTCTTTGTAATTAGGCTACTCAAGGCAGATGGAGAAATGAAAACTGAGAATGCATAATAGGTTCACGTGCAGCAGCGTGATCAGACTCCTCTGCCTCAGAAGTCAAAAGTGAAGGGGCCAGCCTGGGACTTCGGGAAGAAAACCCTGGAGAAGGCTTCACTCCTGCTAACCACCCATGAGCACCAAAGCAGCATCTTTGAATATCCTCAGGAGACGACAGTAGAGCTTGGTTAGAGAGAGAGCAAAGCGATGGATTATGAATTAATTCATAAATACTATTAGGGAGTTTATTATAAATTGTTTTTGAAGATTTTAATAAAAAAGAAAACCTAGTTTTCAGAGATTAGCTGAAATAAGTCCCAAGAGAAGCTTTGCCAGAAGTTGCTTTTCCTTTTAACTTTCTATTCTTCCTTTCTCACCTCCCAGGCAATGGTGGATTCCTGAGAGGACTCCTGTTGTTGGTGAAGCCCATTTTGACTGTGTTCAAGTTTGTTCTTGTATTATTCCATCTGGTGGCTCCCCAAACCGCTTTCTTTTTTTAGTCTCCTTGTAAATATTTACATAAGAAGGTTCTTGCAACTGCAGGTTCCTATATTGGTGGATTGGCGCAAAGCATAGTCTTGACGTGTTTTATTCCTTTTACGAACAATTCGGTTAAGCGGATTCTCTCCAAGCTCATTAAAAAATAGCCTTTCATTTTAATAACATCATCAGAAACGAAGTAGCACCAGAGGGGAAAATAAGTTTGCAATGTGCAGCCTCAAGTGGCAATCTCTGAGCCACTCTTGGTGGTTGATGCAAGATTTGGTGATTGTAGTTAATGGCTGGAATGCAGTATGCATTTAAAGGCATCATCTCCCTTGGCAGAACAAGGAGCTGTGGTGTTTTCTGGGACAGCCGAATGCATAAGAGATCAGATAATTGGATCAGGAGATTAAGACTTGGTTCCCAAACTTCAGACTGTAGCTCATCTGGCCTTCCTCCCTGAGGCACTATCTTTGTTTGCTTTCTCTTCATTGCCCTCCCTCCTGGGCAAGTCCATCCTTGCCCACCACTTTAACTGACACTTCTTTAGAGGGAGCAGTCAAACCTCTCTGTTTAGCCTTACCCTCATTTTTGAGCCCCAGTTCTGCATTCCCGCTTTTCCTGAACTTTTTAAACAAGATTGCCATCACAGCTTAAACCTGACAGAACCAAAGCCAACCTCAACTCCTTCTGAACCTGGTCCCATGCTTGCTCTTGTGAGTGCAACCTTCCAGCCTCGCTTGAACCAGCATAATTCCTAAATCTGTCACCTTTGCCCCACCCCACCCCCAAATCAAATCAGTTGCCAGATGATGTTGATTTTAATGCTGCTTGATGACTTCCATGGGTACATCTGTTTCTGTCCTCGCTGTCGTCATCCCAGGTTGCCTTAAGCTGTATGCGTTTATTCAACATATGTGTTGAGTGGATGCTTCCTGTATACCAGACATCTAACAGGTGCTGGAAATATAGAAGTGAATAAGACAAGAAGAGAATTTGCACCTGTAAAATGCACATCAAAAAATTAATGATAAAACATGTTAAATCTGACCATATAGGAAAAATAAGAGAAGTCACAGGCTTACCTGGCTTCTCATACTACCAAGCTCTGATACTATTCATTTGTCTGATTATGTCGTTTTTCTTCTCAAATGACATCAATGCCCCTCAGTGTTACCTGCTCATTTCAGACCATGTATTTATTCATTCACCACTCATGAATCTTTTGTTCTCCTTCATGCCATGTTCTTCAATGTCTCCATGCTCTTGCTAATGTGTTTTCTTCTTCCCATAGCATTCTTCTTACCTCACTACACCCAGCCATTCTTCACTTGGTTAATCGAAGAGACACCCTGATTAATGCAGATGTCAACACTTCAAGGAAGACATCTCCACTCTTCACTGAAGCCTTTCATAACACGCTCACAAGCTTTTTCTCCATCCTTTCATCCCATCCATTAGGTAACTGTTCACTCTTCATAATTCCAGGAGAGCCTCATTGCATTTGATTCCAATTAATCTGTTCTGTGACACTAGCCTTGACCTAAACTTGGTGTTTGTAGAAAGCCTTTGAGTTAAGGTCCATGTTTTTCCTAACACACAGTTTGATTTGACTGACCCATCTGGCCTTTGTCACTCCTGCATGGGGGAGAAACTGTCTTCTTTAAGACACAGTCCACGGAAGCATCTATTAACTGGGTTTCTTGGTTATTACTGGGTTGTGCTAGATTTAAAACATGCGGAAGAGATCGTTTCTCTATGACCATTTTTTATGTGACCTGGAATAAAAGTGCAGGGCATTATAAAGTTTGGCAGCAGCATTTTCATAAGAAATATGAAGTTTTTGCTAGGAACTTCTTCTTAAAAAAGAATAAAAGAAGTGGTATTGTTCTGTGTTTCTTTTTTTCTTCATCCAATTTATAGATGGGAAGAGGAGGTTTAAAGAACTGCAATTTGGATGTGTTACAGTGAATTAGAAGAGATGACAGGGTTATTAAAAATCAGGTATTATACAAGTAAATTTTGGTATTTGATCACCTGCATTTCCATGGCTTTAATGAAAATTGATCGGTGGTGTTCCATTCCGTTAGTCTACTGTGTTTTGATTTCTTTATATTTAATGCCCTCTCACCTGACCCTTTTAAAATAATAGGCGCGGTGGCTCATGCCTGTAATCCCAGCACTTTGGGAGGCCGAGGCGGGCGGATCACGAGGTCAAGAGATCGAGACCATCCTGGTCAACATGGTGAAACCCCGTCTCTACTAAAAATACAAAAAATTAGCTGGGCATGGTGGCGCGTGCCTGTAATCCCAGCTACTCAGGAAGCTGAGGCATGAGAATTGCCTGAACCCAGGAGGCGGAGGTTGCGGTGAGCTGAGATCGTGCCATTGCACTCCAGTCTGGGTAACAAGAGTGAAACTCCACCTCAAAAAAAAAAAAAAAATAGACTGGCATTCCTGAGGATGCAGAGTGTCAGCTGTGCAGCAACAGAGAGCTGCTGAAGTCTGCTGAGCCATACCTGGCCACAGCTGGATTGAAGATGGGTCTGAGTTCTGAGAAAGACTGTACACTCTCCCTATTGGAAAAACAGACTTCATTTCGGGAAATATTCAATAAAACGTTTTGAGACACACAGAGTCCCATTCATGGTGAGAGAGATCGAAGGTAGCTGTTTTCCCTCTTAAGGTTTGGCGCAGTCTGTAAGGATACTATTTAATGTAATCCAGAACTGATTATTTTGTTGATCATGTTTCAAAACCCCTGCCCTTTAAACAAGTTCCCAGAGTAAATTGAATGCAATTGTGGGAAGTTTAACTTTTTAAAGGAAGTCTTGTTGTTATTTTGAGACTGAGGGAGAGGATTATGGGAGAGGGTGACTGGAAACCTGCCCCCAAACTGAAAAATCCAAGGGGATGGGAGGAAGGATGAACAGAGAAGAGAAAGACTAGAATTCTGGGTCAGAAACTCTCGCTCAATGAGTCATCCCATAGGACAAATAAAACCTCACTCATCACCCTGTCTTCCCTCTCTGCAGCGAGAGAAGCAAACACTGGGGCCCTGGAAAAACATCAGTAACTTCTCGTAGCATCTGTAGGTGGGGATGGTTTCCAAGCCACTGAGAGGGCTGTGAACGCAGTTACTGGGGCTCCAGTTTTTCTCAGCCAAGTAGGAAGAACCTCCAAATTGACCTTGGAAAAACATACTCAATGAAGGAAAAAAATATGGTAAGTTCTCCCTGTGTATTTGTATTAGAGATTTTTTTTTTAAAGAAACAAATACATTGCTTTCCAGTTTTCCATGAAAAGAGTTTGAATACTCTCATATTCACCATGGTAAAATCCTTAGAGTGGGGTTTGAAAGGCTGTAGACAGGACATAAGCTTCACCCTCTTTAATAAGCACAAGGTCATCCACACAGTACAACTGTATTCATATTAAAAAGCCTAAGGGGGAAACCATTCTTGCCACTCCTTTCAGCAAAGATTGAAATTAGCATTTTTATGAAGAACATAAACTCTCTGCGTATCAAAGATGCACTTTTATTACTCTGAAACTGGCTCGAATAAGCATCCTGAAAACATTTGGCTCTTTCTCCTCCAGGAAGAGGCCAATTAAAACACAGTCTGTCTAACTGCCAGTCCCTACCCACTCTTCAGTGGGGCAACAACAATACCGAGATGGCAGCATTGGCGCCGCAAAAGTGGCTTTTCAGTTATTGGGTACCTGGAGGGAAAGTAATGATTTCTTGGCTCTCGTCGCAAAAACAAATTTTTTTAAAAAACAACCCCCCCAAAAAAACCACAAAACATGACGCTTATTTTACTTGCCCCTCCTCACTCCAATTATGAATTGCTTGGTTCAGACAGACAGTTTAACTCGACACCAATTGTGTCAGCTGTTCTCCCTGTTCTCCCACCTCTGGTGTAATGAGGCTCAAGGGAGAGGGGCAGTTCATTGTGTCCTGGTGGCGCCAGCATGCTTTTTTACAAGCTGTGATTACCCTCTGGCAGGCAGCCCATGCTGGTGGGCTGCTTTCTGGAGCAGAGACCCACAGTATGCAGTCCCCCTGTGGCTACCAACCGACCTGCCATTTGATGCTGTTTCTTCAGGTATGGTCTCGTCTGACCAGTGGTTTTCTTATTATAAGAGGCCTCTCTATCATGGCATGAAGTAGAAAATGGAAAGGACAGTGTCTGGCTGCTTTTGGAGCCAGAGGCAACAGGCCAGGATTTACCTCACTCGTTTGGATTTACTCATCAGCCAAATGAGTCTTGCTAAAATATTTAGTCTCCATATACACAATAAACAAATTTGAACTGAATTCAGACTCTAGACTCAATTTCCCTTTCAATGGAAATGACGCCAAGCACAGGTACATAAATGATGCTCAGTAAACAATTCTTGAATGGAAGAATTAATATGCCAAGACCTAGAGAGGAAGTAGCTTCACAGTGTACCTCTGTCCGTTTCCCTCCACTTTTCTATGTGATGAAATTCAATCTTGTGATTGCTAATATTATCTCTGACAGTGAATCTTCCAGATTTCAGACAAAGAGTGGACTGACATCATATGAAAACAGTTAATGCAGCATTTGGAGGTTTAACGGTTTTGATGCTTTTCACTACAAATAAGACTACCTGTCAAAACTAACTCAGAAAATGGAGATTTATTAATAAAACTTAGAGATGAGATGTCCAGAGATTAGCAGTTCTGGAGGTAGATCAGCAACTCATTGATGTCAAGGGTTAAGATCAATGTCCCTGGAATTTTCTTTTTCTTTTCTTCATGGTTTCAAGATGGCTGCTGCAGTTCTAAACAACATGTCTTCATAGAATAATGACTAAAACACAACAGACAATACTTTCATTTTAAAGACCCAAAAATTTCCTCTTACATCTTATTTCTGATAACTGGGTCACATGCAAAGTAAAAACAAATTGCCACGAGTGACTGGACCCATTGCATTAGTTTGGTAGGATAGTCATAACAAAGTATCACAGACTGGGCGGCTTCAACAACAGACATTCCTTGATGCATGACTCTGGACCCTCAAAGTATGAGAGCAAGATGTCAGTAGGACTGGCTTCTTCTGAGACCTGTTTTCTTCTTTGCTTTTAGATGGCCGCCTTCTTCCTGGGTCTTCACATGGTCTTTCCTCTATGTATTTCTGTGTCTTAATTTCTTTCTCTTTTTTTGAGACAGAGTTTCGTTCTTGTTACCCAGGCTGGAGTGCAATGGCACCATCTCGGCTCACCGCAACCTCTGCCTCCTGGGTTCAGGCAATTTTCCTTTCTCAGCTTCCTAAGTAGCTGGGTCCACCACCCACATCTGACTAATTTTTGGTATTTCTAGCAGAAATGGGGATTCACCGTGCTGGTCAGGTTGGTCTTGAACTTCTGACCACAGGTGATCCAGCTGCCTCAGCCTCCCAAAGTGCAGGGAATACAGGCACGAGCCACTATATTTCTTAAGCCACCCGGCCTTAAACTTATTTGAATAAACCGTGAGCTGAAATTTGGTAGTATGGGAAAACGTGAGAAGTTAGAAAATAGCACAAGGCTGACAACCTTGAGGGAAAAGGGGACAGGGGTAATATCTGGTTGTGAGAGAATCAAGTCTTCCTAGAATGAGGAAGTCTGATTTCTGATTTGAACATATTTTTGCTGGTGTAATGTAGTACCCTCCTCAGCCACCTGCCTTTGATCATCAATAAAACATACTGTGCATGAACCTCTCTCAAGAGAGTAGAGTTTGGGGAAACCAAGTATGCAGTGGTATTGAATAAGACATGAGCAGACCTGGGAGATGACCTATAAATGGAACTGATTAAACAAACATGATTTCCAGAAATGCAGATACCTATGTGCTGTAATCACTTTCTACTCCTACCTCCAAGTACAAACAAAAATCTGGAGAAGGTTTTTTTTTTTTTCAATTTTAACAGGACACTGAAAAGAATGTAAGAATGAGGATGTGTTTGACTCAGTGTTATCTACCCTTTACGGGGCAGGGTCATCTCAGATTTATCTAGGTTACATATATAGTAACATTTTGAATTATAAGAGACAGTCCAACCTTGCATTAGATTATGAATGATATTTTAAGTGTTTATGTATTAGTCTATATTTTCCAAGACTTTAACTTTTGTTATATATGACTACTAGAATCTTGAAAAAATAGTGAAAACTTTAAAAAACATTTTATTTGTTAAAAATTTTAATTTTGAGATTATTTTATTTTATTTTTAGTTTTTATTTTTTGAGACGGAGTCTCACTCTGTCACCCAGGCTGAAGTGCAGTGGTGTGATCTCGGCTCACTGCAACCTCCACCTCCTGTGTTCAAGCGCTTCTCTTGCCTCAACCTCCCAAGTAGCTAGGATTACAGGTACCTGCCACCATGGTCAGCTAATTTTTTTGCATTTTTAGTAGAGACAGGGTTTTACTATGTTGGACAGGCTGTTCTTGATCTCCTGACCACGGGTGATCCATCTGTCTTAGCCTCCCAAAGTGCTGGGATTACAGGTGTGAGCCACCATGCCCCACCTAATTCGGAGATAATTTTAAATAAACACACAGGTATAAGGAACAATACAGAGAGATCTCATATACCCTTTACTCAGTATCTACCCATGGTAGCATCTTGCAAAACTCCAGTACAGTATTACATCCAGAGTATTAACTTTGATGCCGTGAAGACACAGAACATTTCACTACCACAAAAAGCCCTTGTATTGCCCTTTTAGCTACACTCTGATCCCTCTCATCTCATCCCCTCCTTAACCTCTGGCAACTACCAATCTGTTCTCATTTTTATAATTTTGTCATTTCAAAATTGCTCTATAAATGGAATCATGCAGTATATAACCTTTTGGGATTGGCTTTTTCCACTCCCTGTAATTTTTTGGAAAGTCATCCAGGTAGTAGCCATGTATCAATATATTTTTCCTTTTACTGTTAAGTAACATTCTATGATATGGATATGCCAGTTTTTGTTTAAACATTCACCTATTTTTTTTTTTTTTTTTTTTTTTGAGACGGAGTTTCGCTCCTGTTACCGAGGCTGGAGTGCAATGGCGCAATCTCGGCTCGCCGCAACCTCCGCCTCCTGGGTTCAGGCAATTCTCCTGCCTCAGCCTCCCGAGTAGCTGGAATTACAGGCACGCGCCACCGTGCCCAGATAATTTTTTGTATTTTTAGTAGAGATGAAGTTTCACCATGTTGACCAGGATGGTCTCGATCTCTTGACCTCGTGATCCACCCACCTCCGCCTCCCAAAGTACTGGGAACATTCACCTATTTTAAGACGTCTAGGTTGTTTCCAATTATGAGATATTACAAAGATGCTTGGTATAGAATGAATCTTGCTCTCCAAAAATGTTGAATTCTTAGCCCCCAGTACCTCAGAAAGTGACCCTATTTTGAGGTGGGGTCTTTGCAGAGGTAATCAAAGTAAAATACAATCATTAGTTTGGGCCATTATTCGATATGAGTGGTGTCCTTATGAAAAGGTTAAATATAGAGGTGGCCACGTACACAGAGAGACGGCCGTATGAAAATGAAGTCAGAGATTAAACACCGATTTCCAGGAAACCTCCAGAAGCGAGGTGAGCAGCATGGAGCAGATTCTCTCTCACAACCCTCAGAAGAAATCAACCCTGCTGATCACTTGATTTTGGGATTCCAGTCTCCAAACCTGTGAGACAAAACACCTGTTGTTTAAGCCACTCTGCAGGACTTTGTTAATGGCAGCACTAGCAAACTAATATAGTGCCATAAACTTTTGTGTATATGTTTTTGTACAGACACAAATCCTTATTTCTTCAGAATAAATGGCCAGGAGTGCAATTGCTTCTGGGTCATCGGGTAGCTGCATATTAAGTTTAAAAAAAAAACAAAACCCTGTTTTCCAGAATGGCTACACTTCTTTACATTCCCAGACTAATGTAAAGGATGACTCGAATTCTTTGCATGCTCACTAATGTTTGATGCTGTCACTGTTTTTTTATTTTAGCCATTCCACTGAGTGTATATCGGTATCTCATCATGATGTTAGTTTGCATTTCTCTAATGGCTAATGATGATGGACTTCTTTTCATGAGCTTGTTTCTGCTGTTGAGTTGTGAGCATTTTTATATATCCCAAATAGCAGTTCGTTGTTATGTATGTACTTTGCTTATGTTTTCCCGGTCGTAGCTTATCTTATCCTCCCCTTAATAGGGGCCTTTTGTGGATCAAAAGTTTGTAATTGTGATGAAATCTGCTTTATCACTTGTATTGTTTTATGTATCATGCCTTTAGTGTCAATTCTAAGAATTCTTTGCTTAGCTCAAGATATGCCCGTGTAATTTCTATATTTATTATAAAATGTTTTTAGCTTTGTAATTTACATTTGAATCTATGATTCACTTTAATTTTTATATAAGTGTGAGGAGTGTGTCACGGTTCACTTTTTTCCTATAGAAGTCCAATTATTCTGGCACCATTTATTGAAAAGGCGACCTTTTTTCCACTGAATTGTTTTTGCGCCTTTGTCGACAATCAATTAGGCATATGTGTATGAGTCTGTTTTGGGGTTCCCTAACCTGTTCCACTGATCTATGTGTGTGTTCCTTCACCAAATACCACACTGTATTGATTAAGCCTTAATATCAGGTAGAGTGATTCCTTCCATTTTCTTC